CACACACACACAGACACACACACACGCACGCACACACTCCCTCACTCCTCACTCACTCACTCACTTACTCACTCACTCACTCACTCACTCACTCACGCACGCACGCCACGCACACACCCACCCACCCACCCACTCACTCACTCACTCACCCACCCACCCACTCACCCACTCACTCACCCACTCAGCCACTCACTCGGCCACCCGCCCACTCGACCACCCGAAAACTCACCCACCCACCACCCGGCTGCCCTCCCGCTCGCTCGCTCGCTCGCTCGCTCCCACCCTCCATCGCTTCCTCGATCTCTCCCACTCCCCCACCCTCGCTCATTCCCTCGCTCACTCCCTCGCTCACTCCCTCCCTCGCTCGCTCCCTCGCTCCCTCCCTCCCTCCCTCACACACACACACACAGACACACACACACACGCACGCACACACTCCCTCACTCCTCACTCACTCACTCACTCACTCACTCACGCACGCACGCCACGCACACACCCACCCACCCACCCACCCACTCACTCACTCACTCACCCACCCACCCACTCACCCACTCACTCACCCACTCAGCCACTCACTCGACCACCCGCCCACTCGACCACCCGAAAACTCACCCACCCACCCACCCGGCTGCCCTCCCGCTCGCTCGCTCGCTCGCTCGCTCCCTCCCTCCATCGCTTCCTCGATCTCTCCCTCTCCCCCACCCTCGCTCATTCCCTCGCTCACTCCCTCGCTCACTCCCTCCCTCGCTCGCTCCCTCGCTCCCTCCCTCCCTCCCTCACACACACACACACAGACACACACACACACGCACGCACACACTCCCTCACTCCTCACTCACTCACTCACTTACTCACTCACTCACTCACTCACTCACTCACGCACGCACGCCACGCACACACCCACCCACCCACCCACCCACTCACTCACTCACTCACCCACCCACCCACTCACCCACTCACTCACCCACTCAGCCACTCACTCGACCACCCGCCCACTCGACCACCCGAAAACTCACCCACCCACCCACCCGGCTGCCCTCCCGCTCGCTCGCTCGCTCGCTCGCTCCCTCCCTCCATCGCTTCCTCGATCTCTCCCTCTCCCCCACCCTCGCTCATTCCCTCGCTCATTCCCTCGCTCCCTTTCTCCCTCCCTCCCTCCCTCGCTCCCTCCCTCCCTCCCTCACACACACACACACAGACACACACACGCACGCACACACTCCCTCACTCCTCACTCACTCACTCACTTACTCACTCACTCACTCACTCACGCACGCACGCCACGCACACACCCACCCACCCCACCCACCCACCCACTCACTCACTCACTCACCCACCCACCCACTCACCCACTCACTCACCCACTCAGCCACTCACTCGACCACCCGCCCACCAACCCACCCGGCTGCCCTCCCGCTCGCTCGCTCGCTCGCTCGCTCCCTCCCTCCATCGCTTCCTCGATCTCTCCCTCTCCCCCACCCTCGCTCATTCCCTCGCTCACTCCCTCGCTCACTCCCTCCCTCGCTCGCTCCCTCGCTCCCTCCCTCCCTCCCTCACACACACACACACACAGACACACACACACACGCACGCACACACTCCCTCACTCCTCACTCACTCACTCACTTACTCACTCACTCACTCACTCACTCACTCACGCACGCACGCCACGCACACACCCACCCACCCACCCACCCACTCACTCACTCACTCACCCACCCACCCACTCACCCACTCACTCACCCACTCAGCCACTCACTCGACCACCCGCCCACCCACCCACCCGGCTGCCCTCCCGCTCGCTCGCTCGCTCGCTCGCTCCCTCCCTCCATCGCTTCCTCGATCTCTCCCTCTCCCCCACCCTCACTCATTCCCTCGCTCACTCCCTCGCTCACTCCCTCCCTCGCTCGCTCCCTCGCTCCCTCCCTCCCTCCCTCACACACACACACACAGACACACACACACACGCACGCACACACTCCCTCACTCCTCACTCACTCACTCACTTACTCACTCACTCACTCACTCACTCACTCACGCACGTACGCCACGCACACACCCACCCACCCACCCACCCACTCACTCACTCACTCACCCACCCACCCACTCACCCACTCACTCACCCACTCAGCCACTCACTCGACCACCCGCCCACTCGACCACCCGAAAACTCACCCACCCACCCACCCGGCTGCCCTTCCGCTCGCTCGCTCGCTCGCTCGCTCCCTCCCTCCATCGCTTCCTCGATCTCTCCCTCTCCCCCACCCTCGCTCATTCCCTCGCTCACTCCCTCGCTCACTCCCTCCCTCGCTCGCTCCCTCGCTCCCTCCCTCCCTCCCTCACACACACACACAGACAAACACACACACGCACGCACACACTCCCTCACTCCTCACTCACTCACTCACTCACTCACTCACTCACGCACGCACGCCACGCACACACCCACCCACCCACCACCCACTCACTCACTCACTCACCCACCCCCCCACTCACCCACTCACTCACCCACTCAGCCACTCACTCGACCACCCGCCCACTCGACCACCCGAAAACTCACCCACCCACCCACCCGGCTGCCCTCCCGCTCGCTCGCTCCCTCCCTCCATCGCTTCCTCGATCTCTCCCTCTCCCCCACCCTCGCTCATTCCCTCGCTCACTCCCTCGCTCACTCCCTCCCTCGCTCGCTCCCTCGCTCCCTCCCTCCCTCCCTCACACACACACACACAGACACACACACACATGCACGCACACACTCCCTCACTCCTCACTCACTCACTCACTTACTCACTCACTCACTCACTCACTCACTCACTCACGCACGCACGCCACGCACACACCCACCCACCCACCCACCCACTCACTCACTCACTCACCCACCCACCCACTCACCCACTCACTCACCCACTCAGCCACTCACTCGACCACCCGCCCACTCGACCACCCGAAAACTCACCCACCCACCCACCCGGCTGCCCTCCCGCTCGCTCGCTCGCTCGCTCGCTCCCTCCCTCCATCGCTTCCTCGATCTCTCCCTCTCCCCCACCCTCGCTCATTCCCTCGATCACTCCCTCGCTCACTCCCTCCCTCGCTCGCTCCCTCGCTCCCTCCCTCCCTCCCTCACACACACACACACAGACACACACACACACGCACGCACACACTCCCTCACTCCTCACTCACTCACTCACTTACTCACTCACTCACTCACTCACTCACTCACGCACGCACGCCACGCACACACCCACCCACCCACCCACCCAGTCACTCACTCACTCACCCACCCACCCACTCACCCACTCACTCACCCACTCAGCCACGCACTCGACCACCCGAAAACTCACCCACCCACCCACCCGGCTGCCCTCCCGCTCGCTCGCTCGCTCGCTCGCTCCCTCCCTCCGTCGCTTCCTCGATCTCTCCCTCTCCCCCACCCTCGCTCATTCCCTCGCTCACTCCCTCGCTCACTCCCTCCCTCGCTCGCTCCCTCGCTCCCTCCCTCCCTCCCTCACACACACACACACAGACACACACACACACGCACGCACACACTCCCTCACTCCTCACTCACTCACTCACTTACTCACTCACTCACTCACTCACTCACTCACGCACGCACGCCACGCACACACCCACCCACCCACCCACCCACTCACTCACTCACTCACCCACCCACCCACTCACCCACTCACTCACCCACTCAGCCACTCACTCGACCACCCGCCCACTCGACCACCCGAAAACTCACCCACCCACCCACCCGGCTGCCCTCCCGCTCGCTCGCTCGCTCGCTCGCTCCCTCCCTCCATCGCTTCCTCGATCTCTCCCTCTCCCCCACCGTCGCTCATTCCCTCGCTCACTCCCTCGCTCACTCCCTCCCTCGCTCGCTCCCTCGCTCCCTCCCTCCCTCCCTCACACACACACACACAGACACACACACACATGCACGCACACACTCCCTCACTCCTCACTCACTCACTCACTTACTCACTCACTCACTCACTCACTCACTCACGCACGCACGCCACGCACACACCCACCCACCCACCCACCCACTCACTCACTCACTCACCCACCCACCCACTCACCCACTCACTCACCCACTCAGCCACTCACTCGACCACCCGCCCACTCGACCACCCGAAAACTCACCCACCCACCCACCCGGCTGCCCTCCCGCTCGCTCGCTCGATCGCTCGCTCCCTCCCTCCATCGCTTCCTCGATCTCTCCCTCTCCCCCACCCTCGCTCATTCCCTCGCTCACTCCCTCGCTCACTCCCTCCCTCGCTCGCTCCCTCGCTCCCTCCCTCCCTCCCTCCCTCACACACACACACACACAGACACACACACACACGCACGCACACACTCCCTCACTCCTCACTCACTCACTCACTTACTCACTCACTCACTCACTCACTCACTCACGCACGCACGCCACGCACACACCCACCCTCCCACCCACTCACTCACTCACTCACCCACCCACCCACTCACCCACTCACTCACCCACTCAGCCACTCACTCGACCACCCGCCCACTCGACCACCCGAAAACTCACCCACCCACCACCCGGCTGCCCTCCCGCTCGCTCGCTCGCTCGCTCGCTCCCACCCTCCATCGCTTCCTCGATCTCTCCCACTCCCCCACCCTCGCTCATTCCCTCGCTCACTCCCTCGCTCACTCCCTCCCTCGCTCGCTCCCTCGCTCCCTCCCTCCCTCCCTCACACACACACACACAGACACACACACACACGCACGCACACACTCCCTCACTCCTCACTCACTCACTCACTCACTCACTCACGCACGCACGCCACGCACACACCCACCCACCCACCCACCCACTCACTCACTCACTCACCCACCCACCCACTCACCCACTCACTCACCCACTCAGCCACTCACTCGACCACCCGCCCACTCGACCACCCGAAAACTCACCCACCCACCCACCCGGCTGCCCTCCCGCTCGCTCGCTCGCTCGCTCGCTCCCTCCCTCCATCGCTTCCTCGATCTCTCCCTCTCCCCCACCCTCGCTCATTCCCTCGCTCACTCCCTCGCTCACTCCCTCCCTCGCTCGCTCCCCTCGCTCCCTCCCTCCCTCCCTCACACACACACACACAGACACACACACACACGCACGCACACACTCCCTCACTCCTCACTCACTCACTCACTTACTCACTCACTCACTCACTCACTCACTCACGCACGCACGCCACGCACACACCCACCCACCCACCCACCCACTCACTCACTCACTCACCCACCCACCCACTCACCCACTCACTCACCCACTCAGCCACTCACTCGACCACCCGCCCACTCGACCACCCGAAAACTCACCCACCCACCCACCCGGCTGCCCTCCCGCTCGCTCGCTCGCTCGCTCGCTCCCTCCCTCCATCGCTTCCTCGATCTCTCCCTCTCCCCCACCCTCGCTCATTCCCTCGCTCATTCCCTCGCTCCCTTTCTCCCTCCCTCCCTCCCTCGCTCCCTCCCTC